TTTTTTTTTTTTTTTTTTTATTGTTGGGATACTGAAGTGTTTTGGTTTGTTATGCTCTTAAATTGTATATCGTCGAATACGACTTAAAGAAGTAACGTTATATTATAATTGAGTTTGGGTTATCGGGGCTAAAAGATGTCCTAGAAGCCCAAAAGTCCCCGACTCGTTGGAGGGAAAAGCGATAAAATTAACTCGATCAAAATGTTTCTGGCGCCATTTTTAAAAAAATTCCCAATTCCAAACCTAAAACAACTTCGAATTTTTTCTCTCAGCCTCTGACTCTCGCCGTCGACGCCGGATTCCATCATCTTCTCTGAATTTCTTCATTTCTTGAATTTCTCAAAAGTCTCCTTCACAGTGCCACGGTGGAGGAAGGTAGCACCATCGCCATTTTTTCCAGTTTGCACACAGACGTCATAGAAGCCCAAGCGGCCAAGCCCACATCCTTCCTCGTTTAGACGGTGCCTATCGCCGCCACAAGCTGCTACTCCACTACCCGGCTTCACTCAGGTTCTTGTACTGCAATTACTTTTTTTGAATCATTTGATTTTGGAAATTTGTGTTCTTTTATGTTATTTATTAATTGTTATGATTTATGAATTTCGATCTAGATTAAGATTTTGCTGGTTTATATGGCAGTAATTACCAGAATGTAATATGTTAATTTTATGTTTAGATTTTTTACTTGAATTGGATTAAGGATCTTGTTAAATCAAGATCTCATTTCTTTTCCAACAGACTCTTCGTCCAATTAAAGGCCCAAGAGTCTTACCTATTATCAATCTTACAATCAAACAGCGAAAGGAAAAAAGAGAAACAAAAAAAATGCAATCACAGATCAGTGCTTTCTTCAAACCCGATTCTTCTCCACAAAAAGAAGCTGAAGACCAGTCTCCATTTACCGTCGATTTTGGCGATTATTCTGAAAAAATTATAAAAGAGCCAGAAATCATCATCACATACAAGCGCAGGACTCCATGCTTAGACAGGTACAAAACCCAGATTCCATATTGCTTAAATTTGAAATCTATATTTTCAATATAATTCAAATATTAGTGGTCCATTTGAAGTGATTTTCTTTTTTGGTTGTACTAATTTTTAGGTAATTGTTTTTATGTCGATATTTTGTGGGTGTCCATTTGATTGAGATTTTATTTTTTTTGTTTAAGAGACCCTAATTTGGGTTAATTTTTTGTGTATATTTGTATGTGATGTTTTCTTCCAATGGTTGTATGAACTGTGTTAATATATAGTAAATTTATTAGCAAAGAATCAATGAATCAAGATTCAGTGGAGAAATTTACAAAATTGGGACCTACCAAGTGTGGAAAGGTTCTGAACAAGAAGAGAAACTATGCCCAATTACACTTGGAGGTTGGTCAGTCTAATTTTTTACTGCACACATGTAAAGAATGCGGGTTCAAGTATGCTCCTGGTGATGAAGGTGATGAGAGGATTCACAAGACAGTTCACAAGAATTACACCCATGGTATTTCTTTTAAGGTAGTTGGTCTAGAAATTATCTGGCAAAGATTTGTGTATAATATTTTACTTATTTTGGTCTTTGTTTAGTTATACATCACATAATCATACAGGGTTGGCGAAATGAGAAGATTATTGACGTGCCTTTGCTTGAAAGAGGGCGCATTATTTTGGTGCAAGGAGATGATCCTCATACTCAGCAAAACAAGGTACTTTATTGCAGATTCAATTTCTTAATCTTTGAGATGTTTATTCAAAAATAGTGTATATTCAGATTCAGGATGTTGTCAAGATGATGGAAATGGAACTTGGAGATGGGTGGATACTTCATAAGAACTGTAAGGTTGTTAGTCAATCAAAGTTTTTGTTGTTTCATAATATTTTATATGTTTGTCTCATATGGATTTTAAGCAACATACTAGATTCAAGTAATTGTTTATTGAAGTTCAAGAAGTTTTAGTTGTGTCGGTAAATGGAGATAATAAAATGAAGCTTTAGTTGTTAGTAAGAGTTCTAACTGCATTCAATGAACGTATACATTCTGAAGTTCTACAAATACGAAGACTGGTCTCCCTCTTTCGTTAAATAGACTGTACAAAAATTCATCAACATAGTAGATAATAACAGGGGGTAAAGGAAGTTTCTCCTATAATTGCTTCTCATTACTTAGTGTCTTAAAAAAATCATCATGGACAAAGGTGCTTTCTTTATTAGAAAGTAATTTGTGAATATTATTGGTTATAAGGTTTTAGATTATTGTTTTTCCGTAATAAAACAAATTCCTTACATGTGGTAAGTGAGATTTATTTATTAACTTACAATTTTCTAGTTAAATTTTTTGGTTATTCTCTTAGAGTTTAGAAATTTTATGGCCAGTGTAGTAACATGTTTAATCATATATGCTTTCTTGACATGACCAAAGACATATTATATGCTGACTTCCATCGAAGGAATTGTTTGCTTTGTGGTTGACTACAAATATCTTAATGCGACAATTGGGCTTCTTAGTTTCTTAGTTGCACTTTCTTAGTTGCGTACTATATTAATATTTTGGCTACTGTGTTCAGAGAGAGGACCAATTCTAGAACTCGAGAAAGTATAAGTTTTCATTAAGGTCATTAATTGAAATAAGTATATTATTTAGCATCAGACAAGCGTCACACAAAATCTTGACAGTTTTTCCAAAGTGTTACTGAATGGATCCCCAAGTCCTAGTTGAGATGCAAATGCTTCAAGTTGCTACTCTGCTTGAGTTTTATATTGAATGTCATTATAATCTGTATTCGTTCACTTTCTCTGAGAGTGCAAACACTAATTTTTCATTTCATAAAATACCAAGTTAAAGCCATTATCTGGCAAATTTCAAATTTTATTCCCTTTCCATGACTGTAGGTTTACCTATTTGTTTCTTCCCAAAGGATATCTGGATGTCTAGTTACTGAATCAATAAAGAAGGCATACAGGATATCTGCAAGCTCAGTTATCAAAAAACATGATAGTGACGCTGCAAAAGAAAGGAGTAGTTCAGTTTCCCTTCAATTTGGCAATGTGAGTTTCGAGAGGGAAATCATAAGAAGGGATTCTTCCGCTGTAGAGTCAGAGAAAAGCATTGATGGAATAATTTTGTGCGAGGATGAGGGAGTACCTGCTGTTTGCGGCGTTAGAGCCATTTGGGTCGCTCCCTATAACAGGAGAAAGCGCATAGCCACCAATCTACTTGAAGCAGCAAGGTAAGCAAAATTCTTTGATTTACTTGACCTTCATATTTGACATCACTGGAAGCTCTACGAATTGTTACTTCTCTTTGTTAATGCCAGTTTATTGTAATTTTATCTTTGATTGTAGGAAGAGCTTCTGCACTGGCGTAACTCTTGAACACACGCAGCTAGCATTTTCTCAGCCTACCTCACTTGGAAAGGCTTTGATATCCAGTTATACAGGAGGTTCTTTCTTGGTTTACACAACAGCAGATCTAAACTAAGGTTGGTCATGCATGTTACTTGGATCGTGCAATTTTTTTCTTCTGTACTCGGTTAACTGTCTATGTTTTTTTTATAAACGATCCCAAGCTTGACAAAAGGAGGGAGATTGTTGTAGGTTGACATCAATGTTTTTCAGTTCTTTTTAACGTGAATCTTTTCACTTAGCAACACGTTCATGTAGTATTGAAGCGATGAAATTTAGTCACCCTAAATTTGTTGGGAAATTGCTTAGTTTGGTGTTCTATAGATGATTCAAATTCGTAACATAAATTATTGTCCGTTATTTTAGTTGAATAATTTTTCATTGCGAAAATTATCTTTTTTGTTACACAATTTCCACACCATTTTATTAAATTTCTACTTATTCATTTATCCTTGAAGTCCATATCATAACAAAACTTTGTTCTTGATAAATTTGAGTCTTTTCCTTGATTTTTTTTTTCCAGCATTTCATTTTAATTCAAACTTAAAAATAGGATTTTATCAGTCAATAACTATTAACTATTATTTAAAAATTGAATTTAAAATCAAATCATTAACAATTTAAAGTTTAAAACTTAATTGGAGAGAAAATGCGAGTACCAAGAGCAACAAGCTATCTATCCCAATACAGAGTTATTTTTGAATAATAAATTTTCTTATCTTTCATTTACTGAGATTTTTCGTATTATTTCTCCAAATCTATCATCATATACATGAATTAGAAATTTTTTATTATAACACAAATAAGTTAACATAACTCTAATTTAAGTTTTTAAATAAATGATTTGATTAAAGTAGATAAAGCCCTAGATACAAGTTAATTAACTTAATTAATCAAGTTAATTCGATGAGTTCACATGTTTTGATTAGATCGATGATCATTAAAATTTCATGTCAATCAAGTAATAAAGAGTGAGTAAGATACCGTACATATGTGGATCGAAAACATAATTTGGTTCTAATAATAATATTAACTCTAATTGAATAAAAAATTATTAGTTATTTAATATTATAACCAATTATCCTAAGATTATCTATAAGATGAGCAACTAAAAAGTGGTTATAAACTCGATGAGCAATGGGATTTCGAATTTCTCTTTACTCTCAAATTATTATTGTCATACATGATTTTAATATACCTTTATGAATGACGCAAATATATAAAGATGCATTAAAACTCAAGAATATTCAATTAAATTATGCAAGTCACAGCGATATATTTCTATTATCTATCGAAATCTACAACGATTGTTATCATGCGATAAAATCTTTATTCATACTTTCGAATAAAACAAAAATCACAAATCAATTCAATTCAATTAGAAGCTAAGTAATTGAAAGCATAAAAAAATATATAATAAGCACCCAATGTCTCAAAATTGGAATTTAAAATTCATAACAAAGGGTTCATCTTCGTCGTAATGACGAAATCTAGCTGAATATTTTAAAACTGATTTTTTAAAAATAACTAACGAGACGCACGTGCAATGCACATGCTACCAGTGTAGTTGGCTACTTAATAACGTGATTATGAAAGATTAATGAAACCAACATCAATGAAGCACCGGAAGATAGATTTCATCAAAATGTATCATGTTTATGATGTGAAACCATAAAACACGTGCCATAGTATATTTGGCTATATGATAGCGTAAATATAAAAAAAAAAAAAAAATTGTCTTAACCATTAGTTACATTAAATTTAAAACATTTGAAATGATAATAGGTGACAAAAATAATATTAAGAGATCTGATTCAAAACTTATTTTCTAAATTTTGCGTTTGAAAGTCTCTTTATTCTTTTTAAAAAAAAGATAGGTTATAGATGATTATGTGTTAATGTCCTACTAAAAATATAATGAAGTTCAACATAGCGTTCCCTTTTCTACCTATTGATGTAAGACATCATGTCTTCTTCATCTCGTGCTCATAAGGTGTCAAACAGGGGCTAAATTTCTACCTATTCATTTATCCTTGAAGTCCCATATCATGACAAAACTTTGTTTTTGATAAATTTGAGTCTTTTCCATGATTTCTTTCCCAGCATTTCATTTTAATTTAACTTAAATAGGATTTTATCAGTCAATAACTAGTAACTTATACCAATTTTTCCAACTATGTTCAAATTACACTTTCTTTTTATTTTCCGGATTCAAAATTAATATTTGTATCGATTTAGTCAATCAAGTTGTGGTGAAATTACGATTGGATTTTTGGTTTATTTCAGTTGGTTTCTAAAGTGATGTTTTAGTTCCAAATTAATTACACATTCAGAGATGATTCGTGCTAAATTTAAAGATAAGGATTCGATAACAAAAAATTAGGAATATAATGATGTAATGAGCAAATAATAAGGATTTTAAGTGCAACTAAAATGTGGTTGGAAAAAGCTTCTTGTACCCTTCCATTTACCCGGTTGTTTACATGGTGACGTGGAAAGTGGGTTTAAATTCAAAAAACAGAATGGGACAAATAATGGAAAGTGGGTCAAAAAGGCCCAATAACCCATCAAACACCATTTCACCTGCGTAAACCCATTTCACATCTTCAATGAAAATCCCAAAAAAAAATTGAAATCTCCCTCCTCTTCGAGCGCGCTGAAACCAGCTTCTGGGGATCGTCAACAGGAATTCGAGTGCAAGGAAGGTACATCGATTAGTGGAGATGACAAACAAAGGTATTTATCCAGTTTTTTTAGTAATGTGAAAATGGTGGGAAAACTTTGGGCTGGACATATTGTTATATTTTAGCTGGAAATTTTTGGGGGATTTCGAAACAATTAATTACCTAGCTACTGCACACGTTATTATTATCTGGATATAATGCAAGTTTTATTTAGATGAAGATGGGACGGGATGGGAAATACAGGTTTAGGGTAATAACATGTTTGAGGATGGGAAATACCATTTTCACATTAACTGGATATAATGCAAGTTTTGTGTAGATGAAATAATTTTGTCTATTAGATTAAGATGGGTTTATGCATTATACTGTTTTTTGTATTTCCCATCCCATCCTCATTTTAATGTGAAAATAGTATTTCTCATATCAAAATTTTCCAGCTACAATTAATTATGTAAATAATTTTTAACATTCTTTAATTGGTTGTTTAATGCAGTGAATGGAACTTCCGAAGAGGTGGACGAACATATTATATTACAATTCGATAATGGGAACACTTTGGTGGAAAGTGTGAATTTAGTGGATGATGGGATTGTAAGAGTAGATGGTGCAATCGTGCCTGCGGTGGGGATGAAGTTCAACAATGAAAAAGAAATGTTCGATTTTTACAAAAGATATGTGTACGACGTAGGTTTTCCAGTTAGAAAAAGAAATTCGCAAAAGGATAATGATGGAGTTGTCAGATATGTTGTTCTCACATGTAGCCGTGAAGGACGCAGAAACAGTAATTCAAGAGGATCTTTGAAGCCGCAGGCTACCATTGAAACAAGTTGCAAAGCCAGAATTACTGCTTCTGCAGATGCATGTGGAATATGGAGAATTAATACAGTCAATCACAATCATAAGACAAGTCCTTCGAAGTCAAGATTGTACCGTTGCAACCGAGAATTGAGTGCCCATGTTAAACGACGGCTTGAAGTGAACAATATGGCAGGGATTCCGTTGCACAAAAGCTACAACTCTACAATCGTAGAAGCAGGTGGGTATGAGAATATGACTTGCGTGGAAAAGGATTGTCGAAACTATGTTGAAAAAGTGAGGCGGTTAAGACTTGGAGAAGGCGATGCCGTTGCAATACAAGCTTACTTTTAGAATGTGCAAGCAAAGTGCCCGGGTTTTTATTTCAGTATGGATTTAGATGAAGAGTTGAGGTTGAGGAATATTTTCTGGGCTGATAATAGGAGTAGACAAGCATATAAGGAGTTCGTCGATGTTGTAACATTTGACACTATGTACCTAACTAATAAGTATGACATGCCGTTTGCACCTTTTGTTGGAGTTAATCATCACGAACAATCTACTACTCGGATGTGGTTTAGTGTCGAATGAAACAACTGAAACGTTTGTGTGGATTTTCAGGACTTGGTTTCAGTGTATGTATGGAAAAGCTCCCTAGGGAATTATTACGGACCAAGACAAAGCTATGCAAAATGCGATTTAGATCGTGTTTCCAAGCACAAGACATAGATGGTGTTTGTGGCATATATTGAAAAAGTTGCCAGAAAAGTTCGGATACCATGTGGACAAGAGTGCAATTTTTTCTAAAATACACATATTGGTGTACGATTCTCAAATTGTTGAAGAGTTCGAGGAAAGTTGGGGGGCGATGATCGATACATTTCACTTGGGAAATAATGATTGGTTGTCAGCAATGTACGCGAACAGAAGTCGTTAGGTACCTTGTTATTTAAAAAAACATTTATGAGCGAGAATGTCGACAACTCAACGTAGTGAGAGTATGAATGCATTTTTCGATGGGTATGTGCATTCGAAGACGTCGCTGAAGCAGTTTGTTGAACAATACGAGCGGGAATTGAGGAATGGCTGAGAAAGAGTTTCAGGCGGATTTCAAATCTTTTTCGCAGATGGTTCCTTGTGCAACGAAATTTGAGATGGAAAAGCAGTTTCAACGAGTTTACACCATCTCAAAATTTCAAGAAGTTCAAGATGAGTTCGTTTGGAAGGTTTATTGCGACCTCATATCAGCTACAGAGGGGTTCTTGGGGACGACGTATGAGGTATTGGAGGATGTCATACGTGACAAGCGTGTTGACAAAAAAAAGTTTTTCATCACGTTTGAAAAAGGTAACTGTGAAATTTTTTGCACCTGCCACTTATTTGAGTTTAGAGGAATAGTTTGCAGGCATTCGATCGCTGTGCTGATCCGTAATAACGTCAAGTTACTGCCAGACACCTACATATTACGTAGATGGATGAGAGATGTGAGTAGAGCCCACACGAGGGTCGCAGTAAACTACAACGGGTTAAGTAGCACTCCGAGACAGTTGAGATATGACAAAATGTATCAAACATTTGCTTCACTTGCGGACATGAC